GCGCAAAATGTTGTTAGTTTCTTCTTAATTAGTGCTGTGTCGTTCTTTTGACAAACTGACTTTTAGAACCTGTATACACCAGTTAACAATTAATCAATTACTAAATACAGTAATGATATCAATAATCGATTCACCCAATTAATCATTTTTGTCATGTTGGTTTTCAGTTTACGAACCCACATGCAAGAACACAAGCAGAAGAGATCAACAAGGGGAACACAGACTCACTCGAAATCCGGGGAGGACTGTTCTTCACCAGAACCGCGAGAGGACAGCAGGATATCTGACAAGGAAGACAACGAAGAGTTAGAGCGGAACAGATCACAGAGAGCCTATCTCTGGAACGAGTAGTTACCGAAGTAAGCAAACACTCAGGCGATGAGAAAAAGAGGAGCTGCTGCTTAAATCCATAATCCACGCCCTCCAAAACGAGCTGCAGGTGTGTAAACGGGTTGAACTCAGCAGCTTCCCAGGGGCTCTGCATGTCGGCGACATCTGGTGGATGTCATGAGGGATGCCGGTTCCAATGGCAGTAAAAAACTCAAACCCAAAAGAAAAACAAAATAAAACTGGGAAGAACGCAGACCCTGACAGTACCCCCCCCTCAACGGACGCCACCTGGCGGCCGAGCAGAGGACGAGGGCTCAGAGTCCCAAAAATCCCTAATGAGGGCGTTATCCATAATAAACGATCCAGGGACCCAGGACCGTTCTTCAGGACCGTAGCCCTCCCAGTCGACGAGGTATTGGTAGCCCCGACCCCGCCGCCGGGAGGCAACCAGCTGACGGACGGCAAAGATGGGGTGGCCATACCTGTCCAGGGAGGGAGGAGGGGGTTCGGCCGGAGGGCAAAGTTCACTGGAGAGAACAGGTTTAATCTGGGACACATGGAAGGTCGGGTGGATACGCAAGGACGGAGGAAGTCGGAGTTGCACAGCAGAGGGACCAACGAGCGCCAGTATCTTGAATGGACCGATGAACCTGGGAGACAACTTCTTGGACATAGATTTGAGGGGAACGTCACGTGTCGATAACCATACCTTCTGACCAACGGAGTAGGTCGGGGCAGGGATCCGACGTCGGTCAGCGAGTCGTTTATTAATAGCGGATGAGTGGTTGAGGGCGGAGATGGTGTCATTCCAGACCTTGTGACTTCTGCGGATGTGATGTTGGACTGACGTGACTGAGATGTCGCTTTTGTCAGACGGGAGGAGAAGAGGTTGGTATCCCAGGACTATTTCAAAAGGAGAGAGGCCAGTAGCTGCAGAAGTGTGGCAGTTATGTGCATACTCTACCCACGGAAGGTGTTGGGCCCAATCATCGGGGTTGGAGGAGGTGAGACATCGCAGGGTGGCCTCCAGCTCCTGGTTAATTCGTTCAGTCTGCCCGTTGGTTTGGGGATGATACCTGGAGCTGAGAGCCACCTTGGCTCCCAGGGCGGAGCAGAACTGACGCCAGACCTGCGAGATGAACTGGGGCCCACGGTCGGAGAGGATCTCCTGGGGTATCCCATGCAGCTTGAAAACATGCTTAATAAGTAGCTTAGCTGTCTGAGCAGCGGTGGGTAGTTTGCGCAGGGGAACGAGATGACAGGCTTTGGAAAAACGTTCGATGATGGTGAGAATGGTGGTCATACCTTTGGACACTGGGAGTCCGGTAACGAAGTCGACAGCGATGTGGGACCATGGTCGTTTTGGGATGGGTAACGGCTGCAGGAGACCTGCAGGGGGTCGGTTGGACGACTTGTTGCGTGCACAGACTGAGCAGGCGGAGACATACTCCTTAACGTCCTTGTGCATCGATCCCCACCAAAACCTGCGATTGACCAACCCTATGGTGCGACTGACTCCAGGGTGAGCAGAGAACTTAGAGGCATGAATCCACTGTAGGAAGCGCGCACAGACAGCAGAGGGAACGTACAGTTTACCTGGAGGGCAGGATTCAGGAAGAGGCTAGGTTTGGTGCGCTTGGCGGATGATGTCCTCTATCTCCCACGTTACTACTCCGACTGTGCAACTAGGCGGAAGAATGGGAGCCAGGCTTTCCTCCGAATCATCAGGGGAATGTATCCTGGACAGGGCATCTGGCTTTACGTTCTTAGAACCTGGACGATAGGAAATTGAAAGGTTAAAGCGTGCGAAGAACAGAGACCAGCGAGACTGGCGTGGGTTGGATCTTTTAGCTGACTGGAGGTAGGACAGGTTTTTGTGATCGGTCCAGACTAGAACGGGGTGTTCTGCTCCCTCCAGCCAGTGACGCCACTCTTCTAAAGCCAGTTTTATGGCCAGCAATTCTCTGTCTCCCACATTATAATTTCTCTCAGCAGGAGAGAGTCTGCGGGAAAAGAAAGCGCACGGGTGTAACCTCTGATCATGCTCGGTGATCTGGGACAGAACAGCCCCCACCCCTATATCGGAGGCATCAACCTCCACTACAAACTGCTTACTAGGGTCGGGTTGAACAAGGACAGGGGCCTTGGAGAACCGTGACTTGAGTTCGGTGAAGGCGGCCTCGGCTTGAGGAGTCCAACTAAACACCCTTTTAGTGGAGGTGAGAGCTGTGAGGGGGGAGGCTATCTGGCTATAGTTCCGGATGAACCTCCTGTAAAAGTTGGCAAAGCCTAGGAAACGTTGGAGTTGTTTACGCGTTTCAGGCTGGGGCCAGTCCAGAACTGCTTTGATCTTGTCCTCTGCCGCTCTGACCTGTCCGCTCTCAAGGACGTACCCCAGAAAGGTTACTGACGGGCGGTGGAACTCACATTTTTCGGCTTTCACATACAATTTGTTCTCCAGTAACCTCTGGAGAACTAGACGGACGTGTCTTTGGTGCTCAACAAGGGTCCTTGAGTAGATGAGGATGTCATCTAAGTAGACAAAGACAAACACATTAATGAAATCTCGGAGGACGTCGTTCACAAGGGCCTGGAAGAAGGAGGGGGCGTTAGACAAACCAAAGGGCATGACCAGATACTCGTAGTGCCCCATTGGGGTTTTAAATGCGGTCTTCCATTCGTCACCCTCTCTGATACGGAGTAAATGATAGGCGTTTCTAAGATCCAGTTTAGAAAAGATGGTAGCACCCTGAACAGGCTCGAAGGCAGATGAGAGCAGGGGTAAAGGATACTTGTTCTTTATGGTAATTTGATTTAGGCCTCTATAGTCGATGCAGGGCCTAAGAGAACCATCCTTCTTGCCCACAAAGAAGAAACCAGCACCTAAAGGGGAAGATGAGGTACGGATAATACCTGCAGCGAGGGATTTATTTATGTACTCCTCCATGGCCTGGCATTCGGCCCTGGAGATGTTGTACAGTCTACTGTTAGGTAGAGGGGCCCCAGGCAGGAGGTCGATGGCACAATCATACGGTCTGTGAGGCGGTAGAGAGAGGGCTTTGTCTTTACTGAAAACAGTAATGAGGTCATGGTACTCACTAGGAACGGAAGTGACATCGGGCGGATCGACCTCAGCCATCGTAGAACGTGTGGACTGCAAAGGAACAGTGGAACGGAGACAGGTGGAGTGGCATTTGGAAGACCAGGAACCAATCTTTCCCTCAACCCAATCTATCTGGGGGTTATGAGTGAATAGCCAGTTGAACCCTAGAACTATGGGGGAACTGGTTGTGGGAAAAACATAGAAAATGATCTCTTCAGTGTGGTTACCAGAAATTAGCAGGCGTAGTGGCTTGGTCCGGTGGGTTATCTGGGGTAGACCCTTCCCGTCCAGGGCAGCGACACGGAGAGGAACTGGTAGAGGTTCAGTAGGCACAGAGAGCTGGTGAACTATGTCAGAACTGATGAGATTTTGTTCACAACCGGAGTCAATGAGAACTGACACAGAAAGTGAGTCATTGTCGGTAAATAGGGTGACAGGAACGGTGAGACGGGGTTTTGCGGTGGACGGTGCCGGCAGTCTCCCCGCTTTCACTGCCGGACCTGTGGGTTTAAACGTACAGGACAGTTAGCGATCACATGGTTCGGCTCACCGGAGTAAATACAGAGCCGGGAGCGTAGCCTCCTTTGGCGCTCTTTGGGTGTGAGCCTCGTGTTTCCTATTTGCATGGGTTCAACATCTGGGGCTGGGGGAGAAGGAGGTGAATGCTGAGCAGAAGAACGACTACTGGTTAGCAAGGCGCGTGGAGAAGAGACTCGACGGGTGCGTTCTCTGGCTCTAGCACGGATTCAGTTGTCCAATCTTATAGCTAGGTTTATGAATTCGTTCAAGGACTCTGGCTCATCCAGCGTGGCTAGTTCGTCTTTTATCTGCTCGTTTAGACCATGAAAAAAGGCGCTCTTGAGAGCTACAACATTCCAGCCAGATGCGGCCGCTTTGATTCTAAAGTCTATGGCGAAATCAGAAACAGTTTTCTGACCCTGCTTTGTCACCAGATGTCACCAGAAAACTTATCTGGAGTTGCCGGGCGGACCTCAGAGAACCCGGAGAGTAGACCCGGGCGGATCCGGGACTACTGACGGAGCAGATGGGGAAGCAGAAGATTGGTTAGCGTCCTGTGGTACTGAGTTCTGTAGGAAATTGGAGAGTTCAGTTAATCGTTGGTTAGTTTCGGCTTGGCGATTTCCCAGCTCTCTCAAAGCTGCGTCGTGGGACTGAATGAGGGCGTGTTGGTCTGATATCGCTCTTCTGATCGCGTCTGCGGAGGTCGTAGCTTGGCCTGAGTGTTCTGTCATGTCGGTTTTCAGTTTACGAACCCACATGCAAGAACACAAGCAGAAGAGATCGGTAAGGTGTACAATAATAGGTTTTATTGAAGTCAGGGGAGGAGTCAGGAAGCGAGTACTGGAGCTGATGACCGGGTCGTCTTACTGCCAACAGGGGAAGCAGGATTAGAATAGTAAGGTGAGAATCGTTCAGGAATAATCCAGGGTCTTTCTTACTTGGAAGGAAGGAGATGAAACTTGAGCCGCGACCTCGGCGGTAGGTTTCGTTGGAGAGCGGACAGGTTTGTAACCGCTGGCGGGACGGCTTAGACTGTGGTTCGATGGTATTCTTTCTCCGGCTGGGTTGGGGCTTGGGCCACCTGACCCGGACGCTTCCGAAGGGGAATCCACCGGAGAGGGACCGACGAGGGGGAAAGGTGAGCACACGAGTTAGTGGCGTCTGACCGGTAACACTGACAGCGTCGAGGGAGGACACAGGAGGTAGGTAATCCACAACAAGGGGAACACAGACTCACTCGAAATCCGGGGAGGACTGTTCTTCACCAGAACCGCGAGAGGACAGCAGGATATCTGACAAGGAAGACAACGGAGAGTTAGAGCGGAGCAGATCACAGAGAGCCTATCTCTGGAACGAGTAGTTACCGAAGTAAGCAAACACTCAGGCGATGAGAAAAAGAGGAGCTGCTGCTTAAATCCATAATCCACGCCCTCCAAAACGAGCTGCAGGTGTGTAAACGGGTTGAACTCAGCAGCTTCCCAGGGGCTCTGCATGTCGGCGACATCTGGTGGATGTCATGAGGGATGCCGGTTCCAATGGCAGTAAAAAACTCAAACCCAAAAGAAAAACAAAATAAAACTGGGAAGAACGCAGACCCTGACAATTTTAACCTTAGTTAAAATTAGCATAGATAACAACACTTTAATAATTTTCTTCATTTATTTTTACAGAGTTGGTGGCAGTGATGCACAAAGTGTAACCCCGGTGGGTTGTTCTGTTATCGAACAGAAATCTGATTTAAACAGTATATTTTTCTCTCTCTTTCACCCAACTTGGTATGGTTTTCTCAGTACCAGGATCACTCCCACAGCTGCAGGACCCCGTCTTTCCCTCTGATTGCTCACTGCTAGCGTTACTCACGCTGATACTGCCAACATCGTTTTGAGTTTTCTGCTTCCAGCATAAGTAGCTGATGAGCTTTAAACACAGCAAACAAATAAAAGCTANTTGTCATAACGAAGATATTTTGAATAATGTCAACTTTGTATTAAAAGTGTCATGATTTACCGAAGGACGCTTTATGACAACAGTCATAAATATTCATGAAGGCTTATTCATGTTCATGACAGGTTTTTATGACAGTGTCATGTCAGTCTTATTCACCCCCTTCAAATAAAGTGTTACCCTATTTTAATCTTCTGACAGTCTTAGTATGATGGTCATGATGCTGTCATGGTTGGACAGCAGGGAAGAGTGGGGTTGTTCCGTCAGACTGCCAGTTCCTGAAACCACACAAAAGAAAACCTTTGTAATATAATGCGCAGGGTCACTGTGGACCCTCCAATGGACCCTGTCTCTTAAGACCACAGGAGGGTTAAACTGGGTTAAATTCTGGTATCCCTCTTATTAACTCAGCATTATGTAGCATCTAATCTTATTAGCTTAATGGTGAATACTATAGTGAATAGTTAATAGCTAAAATGGGAGATTAGAGTGAAATTGCTCAACACTAATACTCCCCTCACTAAGACTGTCTGAAAATGCTAAGTTACATATATTTAGCAATATATTATTATTGGTATATTTATGTATTTAAACACACTTGTAATTTTTCTGGGGGGTTTTGTGTTTTTTTTTTCTGTGCTCTGGTGGCCAAACAGTGACATTTTGTTGCCGATTTCACTATTATGTCTTTGTGCATCAACAATTAAATAAGTCTAAGTCTAAAAGCAAAATACAATATTTTCAAATATGTCTGCACCTTTAAGTCAAATCTAAAAAAATATAGAATTACATTGTAGCATGGTGGGGTAGCTGTGCTATTTTAGTTTTGATTTGTTCTTTTTGTAGGCTTTTGCTCAAAATGTATTTGGTTGAGTCATTGCATGTTTGGACAAACATTTGCTGTGGTTTTGAATTCTGTGTAGCTGAAGGGTTTTGCTCAAATTATTTTATATTTGGACAGTTGTTATGATGCATAACCATGGGAACAATGTGTTGGTTTTACAACTAGGAGCAGCTAATTCAACATCTCAAAATCTCAAATAAAACATTAACGATGATCCCAAATAACACAACAGTTATTATAGCAGCTTCAATGGCTGCAAAGAAGGACCAGTAGCCAGAGTTAGAAGGTGGAAGTTCAATTGATCTCTTCCTTCTGTCAAAGAAGGATATTGGTAAATCTAAAATAACAGCTCTGTTACTATAGTATGTCAGCATCAGTCCAATTTTTCACATTTGAGCTTCTCTAACAATTAACCTGTAACAAAAATAGCTCACTTTCTAAGTTAACCTGAATGAAAGCTATATAAAAAATTACAATTATATTCAATTTAATAATAAAGAGGCAGGCTCACAAATACACTTATAAAAAATGTCTATACTCCAGTTTTTGTTGTATTCATCTTCAGTTTATTTAATAGATGAACTCTCACCTTTCCCAGCCATTCATAGCGTTTGTGCTCAGGTTAGCGATGGGATTTCACACCTTCGCTCATCACACACAGAAACTCATCTACCAGCTGTGTGCCGCCACGATGCCTCCGCCACACATTTGTTGAGACCGGGATGATATGAAATTTATTTTCCGGTTCGTCCGTAAAGCTACATTTAGTTAATAATCTGTAGCGCAGTCGCCCACAGTGTTCAGTCTATCCACTGACCTGTATAAGCTGCGCTCTTTCTCGCCACCAGGCAGCAGCTCTGGGAGACGAAAGCCTGCCGTATCCAGGCATCGCGCCAGTCATTTTAAAGATACTTATTGGTCCCCGAAAACATGTTGCTAACACTTGGCTTTCCTCAACAACTCATAGGCGGAAGTGAGAGCGCTGCACAATGCAAATAATGACCCGGTCAGTACACGGTGCTAAATCATAAAACATAATTTAACAAGGCTCCGAGGCGAATACATTTTCCTCGAGGAATTTTAATAATCAAGATACTCGAATCATTTGAGAAATAATTACAGTACTAAATTAATTAATTAATTAACAAGCATGTATATGAAAATATGTTAATCAATAAATGAGTGCAGAGAAAATTTGATTTAAGATACCCAGACTTGAGCATTGTAAAGTCTAATGGTTACAGGCAGAAATGTTGGTTACAGTCTAACCTATCTTGTCTTCTGTTCACAGTGTGTTTCTGGAAGTACTGTTCCCAGAACTGAAGTCTCCCAGTGAACACTGGTGACCACTCCCCACTAGTCACCTATATCTGATCTTCCTATCGGTGATATCTTCTCAACTAATCATCAACTCAGCCATCTATCCCAACAGAGCCAACCACAAACAGTTCTCTTTTCTTGTTCTGTTCCTGTTTCATTATCAAGAACTTTGAATGAGCAGTGTAAGGTTAAACTGGTTATTTTACAGTAAAGAAATGGTTACATAGAGGTTATCAATAGTGCAAACAGAATACCTGCTACAACAATAAGTTGACTGCATTTGAAATTGTGAATGTATCCTTTCCTCTGCTGTGTCTTTTCTCTGACTTGTGCTAGGAGACTGTTGCCGGGCTTCAGAAAGCACCATGTCTACCCTCAGGCTGGCGCCAGCCTTGACTTGGCCCTTTTCATTTACTCATTTATTAACAAGACTGACCAATCAAAACCAGACGATGTGTGCTTGTGGTCTGGGCACATGAACAGATAGCTTTGTAAACCACATTCTGTTAAAGGATGGGCATATGTCAGTTTTGTGTTTGTGCCATGTTTAAAGTAAAATTCATCTGTTGCATGACAAACAGCAGCCATGGTGATGAAGTATGAAAAATGTCATCAGCTTTCTGTAGTTTCACCGTCAGTTTGATTCAAAGTTTCATGCTTATTAAAACTGATGTTGCTGTATAAAAAGTTGCCCTTTTGGAGTATTTTGTAGAGTTTAATTCCAAAAGTTTGATTTACAAACTGGAACAAAATAAAACACATTCAGTGATGCCCGTTCAGAACTTTGTTCTTTTCCTTTTCTGCATTTTCAGGATATCCCATTGGATCAAACAAGCATACAATTCACACTGCAACAGAAAGAGTTTTTATTGTAAACGCTGAAAAACATTGCAAGATTTGACTGTAATTCCACCATCCAGTTGTAAACAAAGCTGACTAGTTGCATTTTAGACAAAGTATAAAAGTATGACAGAGTTTTCCTTTTTCCTGATTGGTCAACAGTTTTATAGTTGAATAAATGGACATAAAATGCTTTTAAATCAGTTTCTCAAACTTTTTTGGACATTTTTGTAGTTTGATAGCAGTAATACGATTATTCCCAAGTTCATTAAAGATGTCAAGAACGAAAGACTTGTCTATCGAACCTTACGTGTTGGAGCCAGAACAGGAGAATGAAGAAAATGAGACCACAGGACCACACATTAATGAGAATGCATCACAATGTGTTATTACTGTATTTACATGATGCAGTGTGGTAAACTGCATCAAGTCTTTTGGAAAATCCCTCTTGATACTGGTGGAGGTTGATGAAGCACTGGTCATTAAGGTCTCCACAACAGACTTTCTGCACTAAGGTGGGTACATTCCCGAGAAAAATAAAGTTTAACCAGGCACTTCAAAGAGGCTCTGATACCTGGGGGTGATGTCAGGATTCGTGTGGGGGAATGTACCAGAGAACCAAACATTTTGACTTGTCTTCTCTGTTCTTGACAATACTCAAGACATAAAGTTAACCTGGTGGTTTAGGTGGGGTGAGGACAAGGTAGGAGCAGAAACTGGCAAAGAGGCAAATTGACTGAGCCCTCTGCTGGACATCAAAAGTATTTAGGACAAAATGAATATTAGTAACAAATGCTACACTTGTCATATGTTTAATTGACTTATATAATGAGAGTTTTAATAACTTAAGCTTTAACTGCAGCAATAGATTGGACACATTTCAGATTGTACTTTTGTCATAAAAAATTAAAAAATAAATTCAGGAAGAATAATTCTAGGTGGAGTTATTTTTATTGCTGATGTCATTTTTTATATAGAGGCATATCATATAAAGACGCTTGTACTCCTCTTTAATTTCTACTGAATTTTCCATTTTCATTTGGCTACAAGCATGTTTGTGGCTTTATTTTAGCTATCATGCAGAAACAGTCACTTTTATCAAATAAATTGTGTACAAAATATATTTTATTTAACACTTAACAGTGTTCTGATAAGAGCTAACTCGGGCTTAAGAGAAATTCACAATGTTGAAACTACTAGTGAGTGGAAAGGGATTTTTATTTGCATTTCTACACCAAATCTATAAATACTCAAGTCTCCCAATCCCCAAAAATGCCCAAAGCTCCCTATTTTAATATTTCAAACACCAAATATATCTTAATACACCTTAAAATTATGCACAGTGAACTCTACCTTAGCACTACTGCAAAGATAACGTCTCTCTTAACGGTACAGCTAATCAGCAGCAGAAAATGAACTGAACTCCTGGATGGGTTGCTTTGCAAACACCAGCCAATAGTGTGTCAAGACACATTTCAACCGACCAACCTGCATTTTCTTTAAAACATTTTACAAAACAAAACACTTAAATATATGTTCCACGAAAACAATCTGACAACAGATCAATCTATGAGTATAC